GAGGGGGGGTAGGGGCTAGGCGCGGGGGGGGGGGGCGGCGGGTTTGTGATTGCGAATGGCACTTTTGTGATTGCAACTTGCAAATCTGCACTGGTTTTGCGATTGCAACTTGCAAATCTGCACTGGTTTTGCAATCGCAAACAAATCTGCAGCGCTCTTGTGATCACAAACAGGAATTTGCAGCGGTGTTGCGATTGCAACTGCAAATCTGCAGTGGTTTTGCGATCACGAACACCAATTTGCAGCGGTTTTGTGATCATAACTGCAGATTTGTGGCAGTTTCGCAATCGCAAACACGAATCTGTAGTGGATTTGCGATTGCAAACGCAAATTTGCAGCAGTCTTGCAGCTGCAACAGTAAATCTGCAGCTGTTTTGTGATTGCAACTGTAAATCTGCAGCAGTCTTGTGGTCACAAACACACATCTGCAGAGGCTTTGTGATAGCAACTATAAATCTGCAGAGGCTTTGTGATAGCAACTATAAATCTGTAGCAGTTTTGCACTTGCAAAAAATTCTGTAGCGGTCTTGCAATTCACCTGCAAATTTGCAGTGGTTTTGCAATTGCAACTATAAATCTGCAGCGCTCTTGTGATTGCAGCTGCAAATCTATGTTCTTGCAATTGCGACTGCAAATTTTCAGCGGTCTTGCAATTGCGACTGCAAATTTTCAGCGGTCTTGCGATCGCAACTGCAAATCTATGTTCTTGCAATTGCAAATGCAAATCTGCAGCGGTTTTGTGATCGCAAATGCAAATCTGTGGCACTCTTGTAATTGCAACTACAACTTTGTGGTGTTTTTGTGATCGCAACTGTGAATTTCCAGCGGTCGTGTGACTGCAACTTCAAATCTGCAGCAGTTTTGTCGTTGCAAACTGCATCGCTCAATGCGTCTGAGTTGCAGGGGGTGCAGTATTTGCAGCTGGGGGGGGAAAAATGCTTTTCGTGGCCTCGGCCGAGCGCGTGGGGACGGCTCAGCCCAGCCCCCTTCCCCGCCAAAGGAACAAAGCAGCTCTTGCTAGCAAAGGGCATCTTGGCTCCATCCCGGGGCCGGATCCCCATCCTGGGGCCAGATCCCTATCCCACTGCTTTCTGGAACCACCCTGAGCCCCGTCCCCGTCCCGCAGCAGCCGTTGCGGGGGCCATGTCCTCGCTGCTGTCCCTCCAGGAGGAGAACCGCATCCTGCAGCAGGAGCTGTCGCGTGTCGAGGACTTGTTGGCTCAGAGCCGGGCCGAGCGCGATGAGTTGGCCATCAAGTACAACGCCATCAGCGAGCGGGTAAGTCGCCAAGTGGGTTAACCCAACCCCACCCATTTTAACCCCAAAATCAAGGCGATGCAAGCTGTAACCTTTGCATTCCCCTCTGCTCGGAGCGGGAGATGCTGCAGCATCTTGCAACATCCCGGTGATGGGAATTTTGCTGCAGCACACCCGGCTTGTCCGGACCCATCCCGGCTTGCCAGGGCTTGTCCTGCAGGATGCACAAAGCATCCCCCCTGGCCCCATCCCTATTTTATTCCACTGCTTTTCAGGAAGCAGGACCCCCCCCCCCCCATCAGCATCCCTCGCCTTTGCATCCCTTTGCCGTGGCAACGAGGGAATTAAAAAGGGCTTTGGGCAGCGGCCAGATGCTGAATGTGGCTCCTGGGGGGACCCGAATTGAGGAGCTGCCGGGATTTTGGGGGGCAGCCTCACTATTTGTGGCTGGCTATTTACAAAAAAGAAAAACAAATATCGGGAAAGTGCCCCAAGGGGAATCGCCACCGCTGTGCCCGAGGATCCTTTACTCATCAGCTAATCCCATGCAAGCCAGGTCGGGGCTTTGCTGAACCCCCAGATTCAAAGTTGGGATATCTTTAAAAGCACCGCTAAATTTTCCTATTCATTTCCTCCCTGTATGTGCAAAGCAGGGGGTAGAATTTGGGGGGGGTCTTAGCTTTGGGCGTATGAGGATTTGCCGTAGGACCACCCCAAAGCGATGGCTTTGTCCGGGATGGGGTGTTGCGAGTGAAATCGGTAGGTGCTGGGGCGGGGGGGCCGGTTAGCATCCCGATGGGTGCATTTGGGGGATGTCCCGGGATCTCCCACATCCCCCTCCCCTCCCATCCCAGCTGGAGCAAACCCTACGCCTGGAGACGGGCGAGCGGGAAGCGGCGGAGAGCCGGAGCTTGGCGCAGCACAACATCGAGCTGCGGCGGCTGTTGGAGGAGGAACAAGCCGCCTACAAGCGCAAGCTGCAGGCATACCAGGAGGGCCAGCAGCGGCAAGCCCAGCTGGTGCAGAAGCTCCAAGCTAAGGTAAATCCTTCCTGGGGGACATGGGGACGTTTTTGGGGAGACCCCCCTCAGTGTCACCCACCCTGTCCCCTCCGCCCAGGTGTTGCAGTATAAGAAGAAATGCGGCGAAGTGGAGCAGCAGCTGCTGGAGAAGGCGACGGAGCTGGAGCAGGAGAGGCTGACAGTGAGGGATAGTTTTTTTGGGGGGGTCCCCTGCCCCGAATCCCCCCAAACTGGGGTGATGACGAGCAGGCTGATGACCTTACAGATCCAACTGGATACGGGCAGCTCGCAGCCAGAGGAGGAGAGCAGCAATGAGTTGGAGAACGCCCTGATCCGGCTGGAAGAGGAGCAGCAGAGGTGAGCAGGGGTCCCTGGGGAGCTGCGGGACCGCCCCCCCCTCCCCGGGGTGATGCTCTGGCTGTGTGTGACCCCCCCCGCCCCCCAA